AGTAAGATAGAGTGCACTGTCACATGCATGCCCACACACTACGTGAAATATATATATATATATAGAATATAAAATCATATATTAAAATAATGCCCTTCAGGATTTATGAAAACACGGCAGGTTCAGTGTCATACAAACCTTGGGAAATGCGGTTCCATAGGAAACCAGTTGGTACGCTCTTCCATTGATCTGAAACTTGACAGGTGATGTTTTCTTTTTTCTTAGTTTAAGTTTCCATCCTGACACATCTCTATTAAATGAACAATCATATGGGTCTATTTGAGAGAAAGAAGGTTGATTGGAAGGGCATGTGAGTGTCAGCCTTCAAGGTAGGCCAGGTCAGGAAACAGACTCCATAACAACTACTAGAACGCTGTTACTATAGGGAATAATCACTGGATCTTGAAAGCCTTAAGAGTTTCTCTCTCCTTCCCTCTTATACCAAAGAGAGCCAAAGTGGGGTAGTTTTGAGTTTCTACCTCATCCTCTCCTGTCTTTCTAAGTTAAGCCAATGTTTTTGTAATGGCTGCTCCATATCTTCAAGGTTTTCTTCATACTCCTCTTACTGAACTAAGTTTTCTGGCAAGCCTACTAAAAAGTGTCTAGGTCAGGGATGGGCATTTGTCCCTTTCCAGATGTTGCTCCATTCCAGCACCCTAGCCAACATGGTCAGAAGTGAGGGTTGCCAAGCATTTTCTGCAGGGCCTACAGGTTACCAGTCTCTGGTTGTAGACAATCTGGACCTATCAGCTAGAACATCAGTGTGATCAGCTGTGTTTTTCTTCCCAGTGATCATGAGCTTTTCAGTACCACAGTTTGCTGACTTCAAAGAAAATGCCTCTTCCGACAGCGTGTTTGTGTCCCCTGGCACTAGACGGCAGCCGCTCAGTGCCTGTGGCACCCCAGTGCTGGAGAATTGCCCGCAGAATGACGATGAACGGGAGAGGAAGCAGCGGAGGCGCTCCAGAGTTGTCGATCTACAGTTTAGCGCTGAATCGCCTCTGTCCATACGGTCTCCCGTTAGCAAGTAAGAATGACTTGCACTAAAAAAAAAAGTGTCTGTGTAATTGCACGAATATGCAGTGGAGGCTAGGATGTGCTTTAAAGCTTTTAAGAAGGTAGGGCTTTAAGTGTGATTAGTTTACAGAAATGTTCTCCTGTGCTAAGTTCAAAGGAACATCAAGGAGATATACGTGTGTCTCATCCATATCTGTGCGTTTGTATTTGTCTTGCAGGCAAGCAGAGACATCACTGCCAGCAATCCCACAGTTGTCCAATGCTCAGATTGCAGATCATTACTCCACGTGCATCAAGCTTTCAACAGAAAATGTGAGTTCAACTTCTGCTCCCTGCTCACAACTGTACAGAAGAACCGTTTAGGCTTACTAGCATTAGGACTGTGTATTCCACAAAGAGTTCCCAAAACTGTCAACATTTGGCCTGATTACAGGAATTGTGAGAATGTTTATTTATTTATGTATTATATCCGCTTTTGTTTTATGGAATTCAAGACAGTGCCCATAATGCTCCCTCTTCCTATTTTTTTCCCCAAAACAATGTCCCTGTGCGGTGGGATGGTCTGAGAGAGAATAACTGGCCTAAAGTCACCCATGCAACTTTCATGCCCAGGGAGGGACTAGAACTCACCGCCTCCCTAGTCTAGCTCCTTCATCACTACACTTAGTTTTGGTTTTTTATAAATCGATACATCAAAACAAGTTTTAAAACTTTTTGTGGTTGAAAAGATTTGCCTTAAAGGATATGGTCACAATCTAATGAAATCTCAAAGCAAGGAAGGGCCTAACAGGATCTTCAGAGACCCAGGCCTGCAGTCTTGAATATCCAGCTTAAGACGCTGCCCTCCCTCTTTTTAGGGCAGGGCTTGTGACATTTCCATTTGTTAGTATTGCTATTGTTGCTGTTAACTTAAAATCCTAAATATTGGTGGCTTTTAATGTTTTTGTATGCGGTGCTACTCAGTTTTAGACAAGAAATCCAAATCCAAAATCTTAAGATTGTTGCTTGATATTTCAGAGGTAAGATTGTGTGTATCACCAAACTCAGAGATTTCAACAATTTTAGCCATTGTTCTAAACTTATTGTTTTCTCCCCACCAATTTTTGTGTGTGTGTGTGTGATTTAATGTTGTTCTCTTTTCCAGAAAATCACCACAAAGAATGCATTCGGCTTACATCTCATTGACTATATGACCGAAATACTCAAGCAGAAGGATTCTGAACTCACCAACTTTAAGGTCAGGATCCTTCCTAATTCTGTTTCCTTTGATGTATAGAACACGAACAGGAAAAGTTGGACTATCTTTCTTATTGCTTATCATGGAGGATTGGCTTGAAGGACTACGATGCCTGGGTGATTGGCACAAAACCACCATTTTCTTTTGATTACCTTCCTTTTGGAAGAACTCGCCCACTCCAATACCTGGCTAGCATGCTAGAGATCGTGGGGGTTATGGAACAAACCCATCTGGAAGGCTGCTGTAGAAAATAAAGATCAGCTATCCTCCTCCATACAGCGGGCGGATCGGTTCGCATTCTGTTTGCTAGACTCCTGGGGCTGGTTCCATATCCAAAGAAAGACCGAAAAACTAATTGTTGCTGAGATATGAAAACGATGGCTAATGTTCCTGATGCTATTTCCAAATTAAATAGATGGTCCACATTGGTTCTGAAAGCCTGTAGTTTCAGGTGAGCGGGCAGAGAAGAAAAGAGAAAGCACAGAATAAAAGCTTCGCTTGTATTCTCTTGACTACTACTCAAAGACACTAAAGGGATAAAAAGGCTCATGAAAGTTTACTCCCTCTTCTTTACATTTGCTTTGCAGGTAGCAGCTGGCACCCTTGATGCCAGCGTAAAGATCTATGCAGTGAGAGTTGATGCTGTCCATGCAGATGTTTACCGTGTTCTTGGAGGACTGGGTAGAGACTCCGCAATTGCAGAGCCCGAGAAGAACCAGGATGCAGGTGGGCCTTTTGACGCTATCAACCGTTTGGAATAGCTTAGATCTTAGAAGCCTCTTCCCTCCTGCTAAGGTTCATCTCTCATGTCTGTAGGAATTTTTTTCATTTGTTTATTTGAACATCCGAACAATAACCTAAACATGGAGCATTGCTGCAGGTCACAATAAACATTACCGAGCAAATTGGACCAGCCATCTATTTTAGCAACAAGTATGATACTTAAATATCAAGGATCATACTGGGAAGCCTTTGGGTACCTGGGGCCACCCAGCTCCAGATTGGGTGGGGCAGTAAGCATATGGGATGAGCTCTGTCATGAATATAAAGGACCCAGGATTTTCTATTTTTTTTTTTTATTGCTTTAAGGGGGATTTGCTTTTTCTGTTTCCTTTAACTATGTCAAGCCAGTTCTTAAGATCGGCACAACAATGTACATTCCCATTTCAGAGCAAGAGGAAATTGTGCCACCCATTTTTGGCAAGCGTTTGGGCTGCTTGCAGCCCTGGGGTTGTAAGTTGTGAACTTTAGATATAGGAGAGAAGCTTTGCCAATGCTTTGCTAAGCGTTCTCTCTGCAGCAGAAAAGCAAGAGTGATAGAAAAGTTTAGTCTTTCCCTGCAAGCAATAACATATGTGCGCATGAAAGATCCAGAAAAAATGTACTGATATTGATTCTTTCACCTTTGTTAACAGACACGATATGATTTCCAGGCTAGTGTTGTATTACGGTATCCAAACCATAATTTGGATAGTGAGATTTGCTTGAAAGCATTTTATCTGATGAGTGAATTAAAAAACAATAGCTGAGCTGTTGGATTTTGTCACTAAATCATATTAGAAAGTATTTGCAGCAATTTTTTGTTAAGGTACTGCTGAAAATTCCACTCAGGGCCCTGGAATTTCCTTTTGTAGGTGAAGGGAAGGAAGACTTGGAGCATTCCAAGAAGCTCCCAAGTAAGAGGAAACATCTGTACAAAACAATTGAACAAAATCTGAATAACATCAATGTCTCTGAGACAGATCGCAAGTATGAGGTGAGACCTCTATGAAAATGACTTTTTTCTCCCTTTACTTGCTTATTGCTCTTACAGGTTCTACAAGATTGGTTGTAGAAGCAGAAGGTGTGAAGTCTGGGCAGTAGAGACACAGTCTGCTTCCATATCACCCACATCAGTACTCAATTTTATGACTTCCCTATGGTGAAAAGGGTACAGTCTGCTTCTTTTAAATCTGACAGGCTCTGTGTTTGACATAGACAACAATATTTTCCCATTTATGGGCAGGGTAAACAGTAACTTAAGCCCTCTTTACCCCTTAATATCATTAAAAGTTAGTAAGTGCAGAAGGGGAGAGATGTAACACCCATGAGTCAGGCCTCCCCCTGATGTCACGGGTCTCCTCAGCCCTATCACTGATACCCAACTACAAGGTGAAACAGGTTCCATGGACAAAGATTCCACATGAGCTTGGAATTTTACTGTGTGGGGCTCCTGTTTGTCGAAGGTCCATTCCAAGAAAGATCTATCTAATGAGTGAACATTGATAAGAAAAACTTCGTGATTTTGAAGGTGGCATATTGAGTGTAGTTCCCAAACTGCGCTGTCTACTTACACTGCACTATCAATTGTATATAGTGCAAAGTAATGGTTGAGACCTTGATGCAACCTCTGGAATTATAGACTTTAAGTAATAGTTGGTTTACTTGTTGATGTTTAGAAGCTTCCTAAATGTGGTTGGTTGGCTCCTGGGTGATGCTGGACTAGATAGGCCATCAGCCTGACCTCGCAGGGATGGTCTTCTATTAAGCAAGAAACTCCACAGATTAGCCCAGGTATTTCACCATGGAGTTCAAACGCCATCTTGGGATTAGAGTCATATAAGACAAATAATTGTCTCTTTTTTAAAAGTGACAGTAGCTTTTAATTACTGTACTGTATTTTTAATTATTGAACTGTACAGTAATTTTTAGTTTTTAATTACTGGGAATAAAGGATGCATTTTGAATTTTTTGGTTTTATTTTCTTGAGAGAAAAGGTCTTCTGTGGAGCGATACCAATCATAGTGATATCAATTGTATACATAGCTATACACGTTCACACTGCCATTGTGTTTTCCAAGGGGTATGCTTATTTATATATTTTTTCATTCATGTCTATTTTATATGTGATTACGAATGTTGATGGTGCAAAAACAGTTGCAAGCAGAGCCCTGTGCTATTTTGTGGTGATGGAGGAGAGAAGAGAATTGAGAGGACAATCTGTGTCGATTGCTGTTGGGATAAGTGTACAGGCCCAAGCAATGCATGTTCAGTGGTAGTGCTGGCAGCTCTTTCAACTTGATATTTAAAGATGGGTTTTCTCCTGGCTTTATCTTCAGATTGATCCCATGTTCCAAAGAACAGCCTCATCTTTTGATGAATGCAGTACAGCTGGTGTGTTCCTCACCACACTTCACACGCACAGCTATCTCAGTGAAGTCCTGTTTGATTCCATGGTCTTTCCTCTGCCTTCTTCTGTGACTTCTGAGATACCAAGTTCTTCTCATGTGAAAGTGGCTGATTTAAAATGTAGGTGTCAACAATTGGTAGCAGACTATTCTAATTACAATACTGTTTATTTTGCGTGTGTTTTTATTGATACAGAGCAAGAAGGCCAAAAATCATATAGATCTGTGATGTCTTCCATCTTTCCTGTTGTAATCCTTGGCCCAAATGAGGTTCACACAAATTACTGGTGTTCACCCTTCTTTTTCCTCCTTTGCTCCCATTCCAAATTATTAATGATCAAACTTTTATTTCAGGGTAATAAAGCAAACTTGATTGAGTTGCACTGCCTGTAGGGGACAGTTCTGTTAGAAACAAGAATATCTGGTATAGGCCTAGTCTTGCTTTTACTGAGTTCATGCATTATACTAAGCCATGGTTGTTTTAATCATGATTTATAAATCACAGTGGTTGGGTTTATGCAACTTCACTTCAACAAAGCGCAGGTAGGTTTTAACTTTTTGTTAGACAAACCACGTTATCACCTGATCCATACATTGCAGTAAACCATAATGTAGTTTGTATAGTTTGTGGCTGAGCATGTTCTCTGAACCCAGCCAACAAATCACAGCTTAGTATGCTGTGTGGCCCTTACCTTAAGGTCCAAACTAGAAGGAATGGTTGAAACCAGATGCCGGCCAGACTGTCAAGTTCTAGCTGAAGAGAACAGAAGAGCTGAGCCTCAGACAGACCATCTTAGTGTCCTTCTGAAAGTGTACCCTGCACCCCAAAACCTTACTTGCTATGGTGTCCAGGTGGGTGAAGGAATGTATCAAACTAACCTACGAAGCACAGAATAACCTGCCGTACAGAGAATTGTGGCCCACGCTACTGGGAATGCAGCTGCTTTGGCACAAACACCCTGTGGCTATCCTTCCTCAGGCATTACGATCTTGTCTTGCATGCCTTGGCCAAAGCATCTTCTAGCAGCAGAGTGCTACAGAAAATAGTCCACACCAAGGATTAGGGGCCATATTGTCAGAGGATAAGTCAAGTGCCCTCAGGGACAGCTCTGGTTTGTTCTACTTTGGCTCAGTGCTTGGAAAAAAACTGGATTGAAGACCCCTTTTCTGTAGTGGGGACAGGGCACTCTGCCCACCCAGACAACTTCAGAGGCAACTTGGTCTTCTGCAATGCAGGATCTGAAGCCATTTGTATATAGTCCTTTCAGAACTATTCCTGTTGCCTGTCTTGTTTTATCTTCAAGGGTCCCCCCCCCCCCCCCCCCCCCC